TGTGCGAAAAACTGGAATATAAACCAGAGACCAATTGCCTAGACAGTATCAAAGCTCAACACATTTAAGATACGGAAACTAACCCTCTACACTATTACTTTCAAGCCTTGATTTATCTAAACGTTTCTTCCAAAGTGATAACCAATTTTTAAACTTTTCGACAACAGCACTGTTTCCCAAAACTTCTGCAGAATTCCTTGGCCGAAGTAAAGTGGGCCAATCATTGTTCGCCAGACCAGCTGAGAGCGATTTTGCACGTAAAAATAAAGAATCTTTGGATAAAGGAAACCTGTAAAACAGTACACCTCAAAAAATCGATACTGAAAATTATATCTAAAAGTCATCAGAAAAACAAAAGAACTTCATCAAAAAAAAATTTTAACCAAATTTTCAGAAGTCGTGAGCAATGCAGTCATGAAAGCCCAATTTGCAGCATAAATGTTTCTTTGCGGAGACTTTTTGCATTTCGAAGAAAATCACCCTCGAAATTTGCTTCTACAAGTCAAGAGAAAACTCAGAAGATCAGTACCCTCGCATAGGTAATCCAAACAAATATTAGAGAATTGGTGAAACCGGAATCAGAGTAGATGTAAATTTTTTTAAGCTGAATAATTTCGACTAATAAATGATGTTTTCAAAGCCGTTTAACCCTTCCTCTATATCTGCGTAATTTGTAAACAATACCTCTCTCCTCAAATGAGACACTACTAAAAAAAAACAGTACCAAAAACAGTTGTAGAAGGCTGTCTGATACGATGTTTTTCAAAGCTGTCACCTACCCTTACTTCCAAGATTGATTATCTGGAGTTAAAAAACAATAGTAATACAAAAAGTCCCCATCTTGAAACACCCGAAAAATCATTCTAAAGTTTTTTCACAACACTTTTACAAAAACGAGTGGTTACTACACTACAAGAACTGTTTCAAATGTGACCAAATCATTCCCTTCTCTCATTACGACATAAACTATTAAGGAGCCTGACAGTAAGAACACAAATAGATGTTGTAATAATTCTCAGTAACAAGAAATTGCAGTTTTTCATAAGAGCACATAAATTTTTGCTTTCAGACTGTCTGAACTCTTCACTTCTAACCAATTAGACCTGATACCATACGACACAAATA